ATTACCGGCGAATAATAAATATTTACAGATAGTAACTACCCGTCGTAGATATGCGGATACTCGTGCCCGCAAATTGTTTTGTCATTCCTACTTACAACATAGCTCACAAACATTTGTGTTGCTCTCTGCACACCCTTATATCTTTTCTCTTCTTCTCGGTACACACCCCTTTCTCTCTTATTTTTCTTCTTTCAAGCTACACACTTTGTAGCTCTCTTTCACATATGTGATTCTCGGTGGTGTGTATAACCCCTTGCTCACAAACATTTGTGTTGCTAGAATAATATCACACCATCACTATAACTACCACATCAAAGCCTTTTAGGTAACAATAGCTGCTGCCGTGGAGGACTTTGCAAAGGCAACCAAAGGACTTTTTTACATTTGAAATTATTAAAAAATACTATGATATGTTAACAACTTTTTTTAACAACTTTTTAACAATAAATTACGTGTTATTATTTTATTGATCCGTATATTTGAAACTATAAGTTACCAGGTAAACAGTTGTAAAAAGGTTCTCTAACAAAATTGTTAAAAAAAGATTTACATTAAAAAATACATGGGACCCTTTAAAGTTTATCCTACATGTTAGTGGTAAGGGTTAACTATGAACCTCAATGAAAATGGTGTCCTAAAAGTGCTAATTGCTCATATAGATACATTTTTCCAGCAAAGGTATCTATATGGTAAACATTCTCATGAAATGGAAATGTACTGCTACATGTTAGATATATTTTATCTTTTATCTTTATCTTTTATCTTTTAGTTAGTTTGTTATTATTTCTCATTTGTATTTTGGGCTTAACCCATATTTCTTCTATTATAAATAGAGAACCCTATGTGTATATTTAACACAAGGGAGATTAATCCCATATATAATTTTCACTATATTTAACATGGTATTAGAGCAGGTTTTCTGGCAGCCCCTAAAAATTTCATAAGATTCATCGTTTACCACTGTCAATATCGGAGTTCCTTTTAAAGTTATGGATTTGCTCCCTTCATCGGAGTTCTTTTTAAAGTTATGGATTTGTTCCCTTTTTCGTTGTGCATTGTGGCATGTTTGGTAGTTGTTTAAAGCATCGATGTTGCTCTTTTTCATTTTTCAGGTGTCTTGATTGAAGAATTTTGGATTTTTTATGGTTTCTCTCTCTTATTCATTCATGGCTCCTTCCACTGTTGTCTCTTCTGACCTCTCTTTTATAAATATTATGTTTGACCCGTCTATATATGCTTTTTCCCATGGAAAAGATGGTTCTTGTTAGTTTATTTATAGCCATGATGGTTCTTCAACAATTACATCTTTATCCACTGGTAGCATTTTTCAACGATGATTTGCAAGAAGAGATTTATTACTTACTTTGCAAGTGTTGTTGGGTAATTTGAAACAATGTCATGAATGGTGAACCCCCAACAATTCCCATGTACGACTCATGAGGTCTCTGCATAAAAATATTCAAGAGCTGACGACCCCATTTGTGTTTCTGCCTTGTCTTCTTTATTGCTTTCAAGTCTTCAAAGTTATGTTCATGCAAGGAGAATATTATCTCAATTTAAACAAAGTGTGAGGTAATGTAATCGTAAAGACATTTAGGAAAGAAAAATGATTAAGAATAATATTATTGATTATAATATAGTTAGAAAGACAGATCTTCATACCTTGTGCACTCAGTCGTGCAAGGCATTTGAATGCAAATCGAACAGCACTCTTTACAAATCGAACAGATGTGGCATACTTTTGTTCCTCGAGAATAGGTACTTGAGTGTTATATAAAAATTAAAACGCCCAAGTTAATTAAGTTGAAGTTATAAAGACTTGAGTCATCTACCTTTTAGTCTCTAAAAGATATTGTAAAGAGTAGCGTTAAAAGGATTTCGATTATTAATTTTCTTCTAACTTGTATATTTAACCAAATATATCGATTTTCTAAAAAAAATACATATTTGAATTAATTTGCAGAAGCCGTCTTTCATATATAGAAGGAAATAATACAGTGAACCAAATAAACAAAATTAAAATTAATATAATATAGTAAAATAGTATCTTAAAACTTGCAATGCATGATAAATGTCTATTTATATGGTTAAATTGATTACCAATATACAATTTTGAATATATAAATTATATTATAATATTTAATTTTCATATAATAGCAAATGATTGATTAATTTTAGAGTGTTAACATAATTGAAATGTGAAAGTTGAATGCGGTGCTTATCGTTACTTTATTTGAAATTTCCTTACCAATAGATATTTAATTTTGACATGTTTTAGGTTTGGGTAAACAGTATAATTGTGATCCAAGGTTATTAATTGGTGATAAACTCAAGTTTAATTGGTGATAAACTCAAAAACTTAACAGAGTGAGGAAATTCCTAAAACTGTTATAATGGAAGAATAACTCCTAAAATATTCAAGATCAATATTTTAATTTGTGCAGAAAGATTGTTAAGTACTTTGTTTAATTCGGTAATAAAATCTATGTAATTTTTAAAAGGAAGGTAAAAATTAATCATCAAAAAATAGGAAAGAGTTAATTATGACATTTAAGATGGACTTTCAAGTTTACCTGGTACTTCAATGATGACGTTGTTCTCAATTTTCTTCATATAGGATTTTATTTCTTTGTAGGCGTCTAAAGGTTCTGCATGAATACCTTTGACAAGAAAATATTAGTAGTATGTTAGGAATTTGACTTATATGCTATAATCTAAATTTTATACACATTTCATTTTAAGATAGATTTTCTAGTTAAAAGTCACTATTAGTTTAGGAAAGCCATATATGCATTAAGAAATTGATTTTTTAAAATACTGAAGCTTGGAAAAGTGTAAAAATATAATTGTTAGCTGAAAATTTAGTAAGACAACATAAATTTTAATCATTCATTATTATTATATAGTATATACCCTCACCACATTGATAATAACTGATCATTTTTCAATTCAAAAAAAATATATAGCTACATTTCAATCAATAATATATCAAAATATATAATCTATTAATTTTAAATTTTACATCAGTTTTTTTTGTGTGGGAATTTTTATGAGTCTGTATGTGAAAAATATGCCTTAAGAATTAGCTGTTTTAGTGAAGTTTATCTCTCTCATTACTCTTTAAAAACGTACTTATCACCTTTTCAGACAAAGAAAATAAATAAGATGTTGATAAAAATAAAAATTTAAATCAAGAATTTGTAAAAAGTATGGAATGGTTTGTTTTACGTTTTGTAAAATTTGTAACATTAATTAGAGTTGCTTAATTTTCAAAGACCAGATTAGTTAATAGTTTGAAATAAAATATTCAATACTTTTTCCTGTTATAATTTAAAATCCCATCTAGTACTACGCTAGCCATGTTGAAAGGATGTATTTTAATTAGAATGTATAAAAGATATATAAAAGTATAATTATCAGTTAAAAACCTTAATTACTGAGCTTAATCACCACACAGCACTTCTTACCATAATATGAATTTTTCTTCCACCATGGAGATTGCTTCCACTCTTTGAAAGCTGAAGGTTTAGAAGAAGAACGTTTTGAGAGGTGGGGCTCCATCTTTGTTTCGTTTCGCGTTTCGCAAGTTCAGGATAACAATTAATTATGAAATAAGCCAAAATCTACCATCACATACAAATCAGTAACACCAAGCATTCAATATTTTTAACCACAATATTTTTTTCATTTTTTTATTTTTTTTTTATTATGTTTTTTTTTCATTTTATTTATTTCTTTTTCATTTTCACCCTTCCTCATCCACTATCTCATTTTATATCTCCATATCACTTTTCTTTTTCCCTTTACCTTATTTCCCCCCCTTTCTTCTCCCCCCCCTTTTTTTCTCCTTTCCTCCCTTTCCCTTTTTAATCTTCCCTCCTTTTTCTTTTCTCTTTTCTTCCTTTTTCCCTTCTCTTTTGTTTTTTTTTCCCTTTCCCTTTCCTTTTTTTCTTTTTAAAAATTTTTTTTTTCCTGTCTTATTTTTTTTCATTTTTTTCCTCCCATCCTCACCTTTTCTTTTTCATTTTTCTTTTTTTTCTCTTCCTTCTTTCCCCCTCTTTTTTTCTTCTCATTTCTTTTTTTTCTTTACCATTTTTTTCCTTTTTTTCTTTTTTTTTCCAATTATTTAAGAATCTACATAAAAAGATTATTTTCATATTTTACTTTTAAAATAAAATAAAAATGTCGAAGAATATGATTGCACAATGAAAACTTCAAAAACTATTTAAATAAAACATTGAGAAGTGTTTTTTCAAACATACCGTTAATTTATAAAATATTATGAATTATTAATGTTTCACTTAGTCTAATTTATATAAGGGTGGCAAAAGGATTGAGTTTGGCGGGTCAGTCTGACAGTAAAAGAAAAACGGATTGAGATGACTTTTTTAACTTTCAGAGTACAACACAACTCATCTTGTTTAATCCTAAGTATCAATTCAACATCATTAAAAAAAGGTTAAATATATCTTTAGTTTCTAAACTATTCGTCGTTTTTTATTTTTGTCCCTCTTTCAAGGTACAATTTAGTTCTCATTCTTTTCGAAAAGTTCGTTTTAGTCCTCGAAACTTTGGTTTTAGTGTTCATTTTGTTGACTAAATGAGGACCAAATTTTTAACGGCGTTAATTTTCGAGGACTAAAACGAACGTTTAGAAAAAAAATGAAAACCAAATTATACCTCATTTTAAAAGAGGGATGAAAACCAGAAACGGTCAATAGGGACTAAAAACATATTTAACCCTTAAAAAAAACTAAATATAAACCTAAAGGTAAGAAATTCGATCTCGTTCACTATAACACTCAAGTATTCTTGATCACTCCAACATCAATAATTTATATTCAAATAAGTCATAATTAAATAGTAAAAGTAATTTAAATATATCTTATTTCCTTAAATTTTTTTAAACAATTTTTAAAAACAAAAATATAATAGAATTTAAGTTAAAACACACCTGAGGAATATTAATTTAACGGACGAAAATGTGTTATAGAGATTGCTTACCCAAGAAGTCTCTCAAATGGCAATGGTGAAGCTGGTGTCTCCATCAAGTTCCTAAGAGGAACATCTAGATCTTTGGAAACATTGTAAAGGTAGACAAAGGTCTTTGTTTGGCATGTGAGAACAGCCCTGAAAAGATGTGTTTCACCCCTGTTGTTCCTAACCCTAATCAAATCCTTCCTTTCACCATTTTCACCAATGATGCACATGCACATGCCAATGAACCCTCTTGAGGCTGCAAGGTGCAAAGGAGTGTCACCTCTCTCATTCGTTGATCTCAGTACACTGTCATCCCTCACCTCTTCCCTCCCTTCGTGATTCAATATTGCTCCAACCAGAATTTTAACAAACTCCAGTTTCCCATCATTCACTGCAACATGCAGTGCAGTGCCTCTGCTTTCGTTGATTCTGATTTTGTGAAACTCACTCTCGTTTCTGTATGCAGGAAAGACGAACTCCCATGTTCCTTCCAACACGAACCCTCGGAACAGTGATATCTCATCCCCAGTTGTAACCTCTTCTGTTCCTTCAATTATTGTTGACGATTCTTGAGAAATCAATCTTGATGATATAGACTCACTTTTTACATCCATTTTGAAACGAAGAATGCAAAATATGGTGACAGAAGTGAAAATCTCAAATAAGCGGAATGCAGGCTACTTTTGTAGTCACAAAGAAACAAAAAGAAAAGAGAAAAAGGAAGAAAACAGAAAAGAAGTAAAACAAGAAGACTTCCGTTAAGAAGATCATCAAACTGTTTAAACATGTTTCCGTCAATCTAAATCATTAAGAAAGTCATAGACCGTCGAAAATTTGAAACATATATCGTTCCAAATTGATAAGTAAATAATTTTTCTAGTAATCAAACAAACATATTCGTTTTATTACATTAACATTCTATTGAGTATGGAACTACTTTTTTTACTATATTTGTTCTATACTATTACTTTTTCTTTAGTTTCTATCACTAAATTATAAAATAATTAATCAGAGTTGTCTCTTACTGTTTTCTCTCTGGATTAATTTCTAGTCTTGTATTAAATCAAATTTTAAATGTGAAATCTATTATAAACTCTATATAAATGTATTTATATTCATTAAAAATGATAATGTTAGCATTTTATTTGTATCAAAAGTTAAGGTGTTTTGAAATTCATCACAGAGTCCAGTAAGTGGAAATCTGAATTCTTCTGGACGATAATGGCGTCAAGATCCCTGGGGGCGAGCAAAAGAAATCTTAAATCATAAAGAAAAATGCTTTTCAAGTTATGTTATAATTTTGGCATCAACCCAAGACAAGGATTGGTAACTGGTTGTCTTTATTGCTTTTATTACTCTGAGTCCTTTTATTCTGAAAGCAAGCTACATATTGAAGTAATGTTTTTACTTTTCTTAGATAGAATACTTAAAAGCAAAAGAAAAAGTTACAGTATTGCTTAAATAAGCAAAGAATTGTTCTTCACTTCACAAAGTCCACTCCAGTGTAGATACAGTCAGGTATAAGAGTCCAGCAATGTTATTCCAACAGGTCAGGAATATATGGATTAAAGATTAAAATAAAATTTTCAACTTTTCATTTGATTTTTGAATTTGTTTCTATATTTTTATTATTAATTAAATAGATAAAGTTAATTACTGAACGAATTTAATAGTCTTATTAGCTTGTATAAACAGACACTAGTTAAAAAAACGCTATTTAAACTCGCACAATAGGTATCGGTTTAGGCGAAACCGAGTCTATCAAAACGCGGTGGCATTTTTGTATTTTATTCGAACTTATAACGCCTCGTTTCAAAGGGAACTGAAACGTAATAAGCGTTATACCCCCTCGGTTAAGTATACAACCGATGCCTAACACCCTGCATATCCCACCTACCCCCTCTGCACAACATACTTTCAGCTTTCGAGACCTGGCCCTACTACTTCCGGTTTGGGCAGAACAGTGTGAAAACTGTTTATACCTCGGTTTAACATTAACCTGAGACATTAACTATCAACAAATTTTTTATTTTATTTTTTATTAGGTGTATAGGCATCGGTTCCTATGTGAACCGAGGCATATAGTGGTCTACTACTTCGTTTAATTGAAGAATCGAGTTAATATAGCGTCCAGGGGTTCAACCATTTAACCTATTTCTCGCGCAGAACCTTTCTTCCTCCATTCTCGCACTCTTCTTCCTCCAATACTCTCTCTCTGTCGCCTGCACAAGGCTTCTTCCTCCACTCTCACTCTTCCAAACATACCACTAGTTTGGTCCACGCCTCATCCACCGCTGCCGGGAGCCACCAGTACCTCGTCGTGTGCGACGACTACGAGTGCGGCTTCCACCTCGCCTGCGAGCGCGTCACCTCTGGAATGAAGATAAAGTGGTGGCCGTTGGGAGTGACTCTCCTTAGGGTTCTAATCCAGATCCCCAGCCCCATTATATTTGTTATCCCCTTTCTCAGATCTACAATTCTTCGCTCTTATCCCCTTTCTCTCCTTTTTTTGTTTCTTAGATCATTTAGGTTTTTTTGTGGACCGCCTGGTGCGGCCCGTGCCAGTGGTGGAGCCGCTGCGGTGGGACCGTTCGACTCTGCTTCGGAGGCCGAGGACGACAACGTCAATGAGAACGCGCTGCTGCCCCTTTGCAATTTTCAGAGTCTGACCAGCATTCGGTTGGGTGAAGAGATTGATTCGGGTTGTAGCATGATTGAAAAGGTGATTCTTTGTACTGGAAAATGGGGGAGAAGGAAGGAGTTGTCTTGTTTGTGGAAGAGGTTTTTAGGCACAGCGACGGTGCGGCGAGGGCGTAGCCGGTGGATCTGTTTTTGGTTCTGTTTCTCTGCCTTGGGTGTTTGTTTTTGTTTCTCTGCAAGGTGAGGTTTTTGGATTCGCCTCCTGAATTGGGGTACTGCTTCTTAATTTTCCTCTGTGCCTTCTGATTGCTCGCTGGGAAAGTTCTTAGGGTGGATGGTAATGATTGGGGTTGAAAATATGGAAAGGTCTTTGTTAGTGCAGGTTGGGGTTGAGGTTGAAAATCTGGGAAAGAAATTGTGGTTCAGAACATAGAAAAGAGAAAGGAAAAGAACATAGTAGAACAGAACCAAGAACAGACGAGGAACCAACAAGAGATTTTGATTTTGATTAAAAAAATTAAAAACACTATACTGCCTCGGTTGTCTATGAACTGAAGCAGAATTCGAACACTTTTGACTCGGTTCAGAACCCAAGACATAAAGCCTATCTTTTTTACTTTGCCTGAATATGCTTCGGTTGTAAAACCGGTGCCTATAAACTAAAAGAACCGATGCCATTTCCCTTAATTGTACTGGTGAGACTTGGTTTTGCAATCAATTTATACTTACTTTAAATGAAGTTTGAACTTTATTGAGCAAATATTTGTATGTGTACTTTATTAGTAGAACTTTATTTATATATTTAAGTGTTTGATTTAAAGTAATGAATATTTCTTCGACTTATCAATTTTAATAGTGGCATTTTAAATTTCTTTCAATATTTTTTATTTTCATAATTTTTTCGGTAAAAGTTGTTAAAAATGATTTGTTTTTCCTTTAAGGTTAGATTTGTGCTAACTTCTACCAGAACTTTATACGTATATGAGTCATCATATATAATGCTTAATTATGTAAAATTTACTTCAATATAATAACAATAAAATAATAATATATTCTTTAAATAAAATTTGTAATAATTTATAATAATTAATTTGCAAGAATACTAGTATGTACATCTGGTCCATAACCTATCTAATTAATCTTAAATGATCGATGTAAAAGTAGCTTGTGCAGTAGTGACTACTTATATATATATATATAATCATTATCTGTGTATGATACGTAAGGATATCATTCACAATATATGACAGATTATTTATAGATGAGTTTTAACAACCTCTTGAATAAGTTCCTTTTTATAAAACCACCAAATGAGTATAGGTAAAAAAAAATCCTAGTCCTAAAACCCACTTAAAGTAGGTTAGGAGAGTTAAAATGGATTTGATCCCACTACAATACTTCAATTGATTCATAAATATAACAATTTAAATTTGGGTCAAAGGTCAAGTCAAGTCGTCCCAACGAGTTTGTCTAGATCAAAGTTCTAGCTGAGTCGACATAAATTGTATGTTGAAACAAGTCGATTCAGGCCAAAGTTATGTTAAGGCAAGATCGTCTATAAGACTGAACTGTTTAAATGTCCTTAAATGTTTTAAAAGTTTAACAAATAGTAGTAAACGAAATGAGCATAAGACATAGTGTTATCATTATGGTTTAGGGAATTGTCTAAATGTCCTCATATGTTTTAAAGTTTAACAAACAACAATAAACGAAATGAGCATATGACAGAGTGTCATCATTAGAAAAGAAATATAGCTAAAATATAAGTAGTTTGTGAAGAAGCTTTGTGAAATCTAAATATCTTCATAAAAGCTTTAGTAAACACACCAATACAGGAACATACACATCACTGAATGATTTCCCTATTAAATGCATCAAAGAGAGTCTTGTTGAATGCAACTAGTGTTATACATTGTCAAGCAATGATCAAACAAACTCCCAACATGTCTTGATAGATAAAAGTGTTAAATGATGTTTTTGGAAACCATGCTAAAATTCTTGAACAATGATCTAAGAATTTGTGTTGAAAGACACCTTACTAAACACACTTTTGAATAAAACAGAGAAAACTTAAAGCAGTGTTTACAAAGATTAAACAATACCATGTGCCAAACGATCTCCTTCATCCAACGATGACGTCTTCATCAACTACTTGGTATCTTAGTGAAAGACTTAAACGATCAAATTCTTCCTGAATTGTAGAAAACATGAAAAACACTTTCTTGTTCTGAACAAGCACGAAATTCCATTAAATGCACAACGTTTAAAAACAACAAAAGTCATAAGAAAAAGGACATATCTACCTGCATGCATATCTACTCTACTTTATGCAAATCACCATTGTCAAGTATCCACCTCCATCCTATACAAATCAAAAGTTGACGTTAGAGACAAAGAAGACACTCACAAAATGTTCTTTTTATCAAAAGTTAAGTCAGAAAGATCGTACAACCTACTTTTGATAAATAACTGAAAAAACATGTTTTCTTTGACAAGTTAACTTTAACCAACAGTTGCTACCTACGATAAGGCTAAGAAGATCCAAAGATCAAAGCAAAGTACTATCTAACAAACATTTTCTTGAAACCTATATATTGAATAATGTCAAAGAAAAGAAGAAGAGAATAAACACACGAATACAAAAGAAAATTTTGTGAAAAAAAGAAAAGCTCAATAGAAAAAGAAAATACTCTCAAGCTTCAACAAATCAAAAGCTTACCGTTGTAAGAAGAGAGAAAATCTTAAAAGTCTATTAGATTGAAATGTATTATATACACATCCTCTCTGCGAGACGGTCTAAGGATTTGTACTCAATTTGTTGATTGTAAATTTTGAAGAGAATTAAAAGACTTTACTCTTAACTTGATAAGGTTAAACAATAACTAGAGGGGTTTGTTTAGTAGAAACCACGAGTGGGTGGAACTCAACTAGATAGTGTATTGGAAAGATACCGAGAGTGTCTAGGAATACCAGG